CAAATGACTGACCGCAAAAATTGAGTTTACGTGGTCACCAAAATCTTACTTCGGCAAAACATTATAGAAAGTTTGCCATACAACCCGGCTTGTTCAGTTCATAAATCCTAAATGAAGAATGCTGACTTTGCCAACCTTCCAGTGACAAGCTCAACATGGAACATATATTAGTTTAACAAGTCTGAATAGTTTTTCCAAAAAAGAAATTTGTGGGATAGACAGTTTGTTTGCTTGTTTATTAGGAGTTTATGGGAGCCCCTTATGATTGTTCTGTATATCATCATCTAATCCACTAGAACCAATCATGTTCTTCTTGACACCAAAGAAAAAGATACGATTATTATTTAAGTTGAATAATTTGAACTAAGACATACATGGACACCTAAATACAGGGATTATTATCCTATAAGTTCACACTAAAATTGGCTACAGGCGCAAATTATACATCGACAAATAATGATATATATATATGTAATGAATGGATGAACGAGTAAACAAAATACAAGAATGTCATCTATCAAAAGTGACGAGCGAAGAGAGCTGTACCGAATGGGTGTTCTGATTCTCTCCCTTCTCCAAAGATATCTGCATGGACAATCCAAAATGGGAAATGCAATCATTTGTACAGCTACTGCTGCCAATTCTCATTTTCACTAAAACAACCTTCTCTTGTTGGTGCTTTTTTTAGTTTTTTAAGACACTCCTCCTTCCGTTACTTTCAAAGAAAACAAATACATATAAAAAGAAGGGGAAGAAAAAAGAAAAATAGGAACAAAGACCTAATAGCCGTGGACGTGGCCCTAGTTTGGAGTCCACGTAAATTTGTGTTCTTGTGTGCTTGATTAGATTCTTGTTTTTATTCTTATTTGTGTTTCATCTTTCACTGATCTTGGTTAGGTGTAACAATTCCTCACAACGACCTCCTAACATAGGTTATTAAAACAGGGCAACAAGTCACAAGTGCGGAAATACCAAAATACCTTTACTCCAAATTCGGAGTCAAGTAGTTAGTGTCTAGTACTTATCAGGATCCACACTACCCAACTATCATTTTTCATCAAAGAACATGCCCGTAGCGCTTAACAAGATGGCACGACAAATGTCAAAGTATTTAACATGAGAATAGCTACTTCATTTTTCATGCCTTTTATCCTTTTCCAGGCAGCCACACTGAATTCTAGAAAGTGAAAATCTGCAGTATCATCCTTTATAACTTTTCAAATGAATATAGCTCCCATTCCTTCAATGCACGATAACAAAAATATAGCCAGCAAGACATTTCAAACAATATGAGATCATAAAAGGAAGATCCCATCCTTTAAGATATACCCTCTAGAGTGAATAATTTATGAAGATGTATTAAATTTACCAAGAGAAGATCTTCATCAATTCCAAAGGATTTGCGAGCTTCTTCTAGGCGCTTTGATGTGACCTTCTCATGTTTCCTGCACAATCATCCAAAGTGGAAACTACAATAAACAAAACCAATTGCTCAAGCAAAGATTTGCACAAATTGTAAAACTCAGTGCATTATGGAATGGTGAAGTTTCACAACATAGTGAACTTCTGGTTAAGATGCTTCTTTTAATGAGATTTCGCACAAAGCTTCACACTTACTAGATTTCTTCAAATGGACCCAAAACATTTCAAATTTAAATGTGCATGCACGTGTAGACACACATCCTGGGGAAGAAAAAGACTAGTTTCCAACCTTTTCACTGTATTTTCTCAAATTAACTAACACACATTGAGAAGCATTCACTAAAGGATTCCACAACTCTTTTACTTAATCAACATGCTTAGGTGTTAATTATCTTCTTATGACCAAAGAAAAAAAGAAAAAAAAGAACTAAAAAAAAGAGGCAGCTCTGTTTTTTGTTTTTTCGAATGTTTGTGGATAGTGATGTTTAAAGGAGAGGGAAAACAAGTGATGTACCCAGAGCTCGCTGGATCTCTAATCTCAAACTCATCTGTCATAGCATCATAGCCACATATTACAACATAGTGACCTACAGAAGATTATAGTCCAGTTAGTAACAGATACAGATGTGGCATGCACAATGAATATACGGGGTTACTGGCCATGAACTCAAATATGAGATAGTATTAGTGGCAGTGAGAGGACTAGAAATAAATAATTTGGAGGAGAAAAAATGAGACAAACGCAAGATCATGTTCAACAGTTACTTCATTAAATCAGAAACAGTTAAACCCACACATTCATCTGCCCCTTTTTCTCCTACAACTCCAACTGATCCAAAATGAGTTATTTGTAGTTCATAAACAATAACGAAGTTCTCAAATTTCAACATTCCACCAACTATATATATATACAAGTCACAATAACAATCTACATCAACTTGGAAATCCAATCAATATGTTGTTCAAAGTGAGCAATTTATTTTGTCAGATTTTTCATCTTGTGTTTGATGAAAAGGAGATGACCCTTCGTCTGAGCCAGGGCAAAAAAAAGGATGATTATTCAATCAATACATATATAAATTCATATATATACTTGTATAGAGAGATTTTTAAGAGAAAAAAAAAATTATCCAAAAAAAAATACAGATAATGTGTACGCATATAACGAGATTGTGCGAGAGAGACAGAGATCGAGAGAGATTGAGAGATCGAGAGAGAGAAGAATCGATAAAACTGAGATTGGAAGACCAACCTTCAGACGGCGCTGATCTTGCACAACCTGTTTAGCACGGGCCCTAACCTCATATGGATCAATCTTGGATTGGGGCTAACTAGAGCATATACAACTCATCAATCACTGAAACGGAGAGAGAGACGGGAAGGAAGAGCTTCAGAGAGAGAGAGAAAGAGAGACGGTGGAGCTCACCTTAGGAGACGATGGTGTAGATGATGATGTAGACGATGGTGCAGATGGTGGAGACCGATCTGAATCTCTGAATCTCTGCGATGAAATCACTGAGATGAAATCGCTCTGAATCTTTGTGATGAAATCACTGAGATGAATCTCTGAATGGCTCTGATAAGGGTTTAGAGAGAGTTGAGAGAGAGATTTAGAGAGAGAAAGAGAGACAGTGGTGGAGCTTCGAAATCGTTCTGAGATTTAGAGAGAGAGAGAGAGAGAGAGCTCGAAAAGTTGGGTCTTAGTCTGAGATTCAAAATTAGGCTTTGAAAAGAGGAGACCAAGCGCGTGAGGCACAACACATTCGGAGGCGTTTCAAACGCCTCCTATTATTAAACGATGTCGTTTTGTTGAACAAATATGCGACGTTTTAAAAAACGTCGTTAAATGTTAAAAAAAAGTGACGTTTAAAAATGCGTCGTTAAAAAAACGCCGCCTAAACCTCTTTTTCCTGTAGTGGCAGTTTCCAGTTCAACCAATGTTCAAAGACGTTTGGAGGTGGGAAGAATTGTTTGTCTTATTTTTTGATTTTTTAGTTAATTTAGTTTGGTTAAATTAACTCAGTTTGAAAATAATTTTTTATTTTTTATTTTTAAAGAAAAAAAATAAAATTATTATGATTTATATATGACATTTTATTTTATTAACTTATTTTATTTATTTATTTATTTATTTATTTTGGTACATTTTTAGTTCCAACCACCTTCTCCAATGGGGACTATCTTTGGACTTTATTCAATTAAATCAAATATAATAGTCATGCAATTGATTAGGTTTTGAGTTAAATAGAATAAAATAAAAAATTACAATTATTAAATTGATGATGTGTATGAAGGATCTCACAAAACAAATTATTCAGATTATCGAAAAAACTTATGATGAACTCTACAAATTTGAACAATTCTCTCAAATTTTAAATTTTCCTAAATTGTAACAATGGTCGAACTTCTAATTGTTTAGTGAGATGCAAAAAATTTAAAGGAATAACTAACTCGGTTGGTTGGGAGTTCTTTCTTGTCAAAATCTACTTTCTACCTAATCAAATTTTAAACCAAATTGCTGAACTCTTGTTATCTTGGTAGTTTGGAAGATAAACCACAAAAAGAAAAAAGAAAAAAGAAAAAAGAAAAAAGGAAAAAAGGAAAAAAAAAAACCCAAATTATTTGCATAATTAAAAAAAATAAAAATAAATTAATTGGAAACTTGCATGACCTCTACTAATAAATGTCAAATTAGAGTGAACCAATCCCAAATTATTTGAATATTTTAATAACTTATTTATGATAGTTGAGTCAATATTTGTAACACCGCTATTATACAATACAAAACTACATAAAGCATATCCATTATATATATATTTTTAATTGTTCCAATAACATTGTCTAATAAATCCTCTGAAACTTGCATATTCAGTTAACCTTTTGCATTACAATCAAATTTGAGATCAGAACTATGGAGGCTTTGAAAAAAAAGAAGAAAAAAAAAAAGCTATTGTATATTATTGGATTATTTTGTCAAAACATTTTACTTCTCGTATAATTTTTCACAAGGCATAATAGTTCTTATTATTTTTTACGAAAATGACTGGTAGCTCGAAATTCGTGGCTCGATTTTGGCTCGACAGCCCAAAACGACGTCGTTTTGGGCTGTCTTTTTTTTTTTTAGCCACGAATTTCGAGCTACCAGTCATTTTCGTAAAAAATAATAAGAACTATTATGCCTTGTGAAAAATTATATGAGAAGTAAAATGTTTTGACAAAATAATCCAATAATATACAATAGCTTCTTTTTTTTCTTCTTCTTTTTTTTCAAAGCCTCCATAGTTCTGATCTCAAATTTGATTGTAATGCAAAAGGTTAACTGAATATGCAAGTTTCAGAGGATTTATTAGACAATGTTATTGGAACAATTAAAAATATATATATAATGGATATGCTTTATGTAGTTTTGTATTGTATCCTCCAATCTCTCCTCCTTCTCCTCCTCCTCCGCCCCTCCTCCAGCCTCTCCCTCCTTCTCCTCCTTCTCTCTCACTTTTTCGAGCCAATTTCGAGCCTAAAATCTCGAGCTACCAATCGCGATCGTATTTTTTAAATATAATAGATCTTACATTTATAAAGAAAATTATTCGAGGGCTCGAAATCGTTGGCTCGAATGGCCCGAAAACGTGGGCTCACGCACCTGTCTCGCCTATCTCAGCCCTGTCTTCATTTTTCTTTTTCTCATACCCAAACTATCTCGCCCGAAGTCCTCATTTTTGTTCCCATACCCAAACTCTAAACTTTGAAACTCTCTATTGCTCTGTTTGTCATCGTTCTGAAGAATCATTCGAGTCTATCTCCTTCAAAACGACGCCGGAAAGAAGTTGTTCTGTCACCTCCTCTCTCCTTCCAATCTCAGGTAAACTTTCTAAACTCAAAAAACTAGGGTTTGATGATTGAGCCCACACTTGCAGCTTCTGAAGTTAATCTTGTAGTATTTTGGAAACTCTAAACTAGGGTTTGATAATTGAGCCCAAACTCTATACTCTCATTTTTGCTCTGTTTTTTTTTTTTTTTTTTTTTTTTTTTTTTTTTTTTTTTTTTTTTTATTTGAGATGCATTTGATTTAAGATGCATTTGTTCTAAAGTAAGCTATTTGAGATGCATCTGTCAAAAAAAAAATTATTTGGTTGTTGTGGAATCGGACCCTCGATTAAACATCTTCCATTATATTGATGCATGCCAAGTGTTTGATGAAAGTCCCTAACTGATTTTGTTCATTACAGATTGATACTTGTAGTTTAGATTTTCATTACAGATTTTCATTACATTACAGATTGAACAAAATGTTCATTACAGCTTATTCAATCTGTAATGAAAGTCCCCAACTTGTTCAATCTATGAATTTGCCAAAATGTTCAATCTGTAAATAGATTGCCATGAAAATCTAAACTAATTTTCAATCTGTTAAACATTTTGTTCAATCTGTAATGAAAGTCCCCAACTGATTATGTGTGTAAACCTGTTCCATTATGTGTGTAAACCTGTTCCATTATGTGTGTAAACCTGTTAAACTGATTTTCATTACAGATTATGTGTGTAAACCTGTTAAATTGATTTTCAATCTGTTAAACATTTTGTTCAAGTTATGCTAATTTTTAAACTGATTATGTGTGTAAACCTATTCCATTAGATTAAAAATTTACCCGTTTACGCATGTTCAAAGTACAAGTTATGCTAATCAAGCAAGTAGAAAATTATGAAGTGTTTGTTAACATAAATAGGTCAAACAGTGTCTAATTTGTAGGTGAGAAATAACTAGAGAAATGCTACTAATAATTCAAGATAACCTCATTTTAGTGAATTTTAGTACATGTTATTCATGCTTCTTGCTTCTTGTATACTAAACTAATAATATTACTTGGTATATGTAAGACGATAACTACAATACTTAGTAACTTGGGAGATTAGTTGGGAAAAGTAACCCGCGAGATTAGTAGAGGCGAAGGTATGGACATTCTTGTGGGGTAAAAGAAAGTAAGCTAAGCTAAGATTAGAGGATGATGACATATAGTCAATAAGAACCAGCTTGTTATTCCAACCTTATGGAAACATGATTTGAAATTAATAGTCAAATATTATGAATTTTGTTTATGAAGATTAAAAATGGCTTCTTCTTCTACGAACAACAGCAACATTAGATTAAGACCAAGAATATGTGATTGCGGGAAAACAACTGCAATGTATATTGTACGAACCAATGAGAATGGAAATCAAGGGCGTGTCTTTTTTGTTTACCTATCCAAATATGTAAGTATGTGTTATGAAATTAAACTTGTAGTATTTTGGAAATTATTTGTGTGAATTAAATAATTGATTGTCATGCATTGTAAGGTAAGAGTAACAAAGAACACTGCAATTACTTCAAGTTTGCGGACGATGATGATGGGGACGTTACCTCGACAATCCATTCCAATAGTGGACCTCGTAAAGCTATCCGAACAGAAGAATTGAATGATGTCAGGGCAAGACTTTTTGAGATGGAAAATGAAATACATGACCATGGTAGAAGGCTTCAAATGATGGACAACAAATTCAACACTATGATCTATGTGACTGTAGTGTGTATCATTTTGTACTTTATTATGTAAGAATTGAAATGCTTGATTGTTAGTTTTTGGGATATTTGATGAATGTAATTATGGATGTAATGGACATGTTGAATGTAGTGTATGAATGGATGATGTAATGGACATGTTAACTTTATTATGGATGTAATTTTATTATAGATGAGTGAAAAAGTTCTTCTAATATTCTTCAAAGAATAAATTATAGCTTTGATGTTCTTTCAATCCAAATGTGGTCAACTGCACAAGAAAAAAAGGCATACTTCGCAAGGATTTGCCTGAACAGTACACCTTACACATTACACCTTGTCTGTTGGTTTGATAAATCTTTAACAGATTGAAAATGTTTAACAGATTGATACATCTTTAACAGATTTAAACAATCATAACCTGTTGAACTGTTTAACAGATTAATAAATGTTTAACAAATTCATAAATGTTTAACAAATTTAAAGAACCATAACTTGCTGAACTGGAAGATTCAACAGATTTAAAGAACCAAAATCAGGCAGATTTATAGACAAACAGATTGAGCAGATTGAGCATTCAAAATCTGGCAGATTCAATGTTGAACAAATTGAGCATTCATGAACTGACAGATTCAACAGATTTAAAGAACCAAAATCAGGCAGATTTATAGACAAACAGATTGAGCAGATTGAGCATTCAAAATTTGGCAGATTCAATGTTGAACAAATTGAGCATTCAAAATTTGGCAAATTCAACAGATTTAAAGAACCAAAATCTGGTAGAATCGATGTTCAACAGATTAAGCATTCCAAATCTGGCAGATTTAACAGATTTAAAGAACCAAAATCTGACAAATTCAATGTTCAACAGATTGAGCATTCCAAATCTGGCAGATTCAACAGATTTAACAGATTTAAAGAACCAAAATCTGGCAGATTCAATGTTAAACAGATTGAGCATTCCAAATCTGGTAGATTCAACAGATTTAACAGATTTAAAGAACCAAAATCTAGCAGATCCAATGTTCAACAGATTGAGCATTCCAAATCTGGCAGATTCATAGGACAAACAAATTGAACATCAGGCAGATATACACAGAAACAGCTTGAAAATCTGGCAGATTCATACAAAAACAGATTCAAAATCTGGCAGATTGAGCATTCAAAATCTGGTCCATTCAACATACAATTTTCCATCATTCAACATTAATTTTCCATAATTCAACAGAAAATATTACCATTAATTTGCCCCATTCAACACACAATTTGCCATCATTCATAGTTAACCATCAACATACAATTTGCTGTCATTTATAGTTAAACATCATTCATAGTATTCTACAAACAAACTCATCTGAAGAGCATTCCACAAAAAAAAAAAAGAGTAAAAGTACAATGCGAAACTAAAAAAAAAAATGGGACATTTGGATCTACATCTAGATTGAAGCGAACAAAATTTGAAGCAATTGTCGAACTTTGACTGTTGATGTTGTTCACCATTCCTGATTGAGTATGAGATGTGCCTCCAATTTTATCCACCGTTTTCATTTGAGTAAATTGTGCCTATTCAATAAACAAGTACACTTTACAAATATTGTCCATTCAACATATATATCAATTAAAACAAAAACAAATATTTTATTTTAAACATTGAACACATACCGGTACATACATACTCTGTTGCGTGCCATCCATGCAAGGAAAATAGTAAGGTGCAGTTTGCGTCGCCTTATGATCATAGTAACACAATTTCACTATACATAAAAGACATTAAAATAAAAAACAACCAACAACATAAAAATTCGAATACATACTGGGTTATGATAAGTATTGTATTGCATATAATCTATACCAGGAAAATTTAACTTCTGAGGCTGACATTGAGAAACCGTGCATCTCTATAGTAAGACACAGACACATTGGTGAATAATTTATCTTAAATACATTCAATAATTTCCATGTCACACAACAAAAAAAACTTACCTGTGCTTTTGGAGGCTTTTTACTCTTTATTCTTTCCCTTTAACCGATTCACTATTTCATCCACTTTGCTAACCTTCCGTTTGGTATATGGACGTTCTCTTCGGCGAGTAACCATAGGACTAAGCATCTTGCAAGACATGCTTGCTTTTGTAGTACTACGAGTAGACAGACTTCTCAGCGAACTATGAGAAGGTGGTACATTACTAGTAGAAGGTGGCACATTACTAGTAGAAAGTGGTGCATGACTCGCACTACCCGATTGATCTTTTCTTACTCTATCCTTAATTTCTATCAACCCAAGATCAAACACTTCGTGTTTACCATCATCGTTGGCAGTAATTTCTATGTTTTCATCCAACATCTTGTGGTATTTATCATGCAACTTTGCATTAAGAACAACTCCGGCTTTAGTGTATGTAGTTGGAATGCATGTGTACCCTCTTTCGATATCTTTTCTCCATCTTGATACAATGTATTTATCTGGCACCTGATATATACACCTCTCAAGTAGCACAGTAATTGCATGGGCACACATAATGCCCCTAAACTCAAACCACCGACACATACAATGCAATTCACATTCACTTTCATTAAAGTACACAACAAATTCCACAATCTTTATTTTCTCACCAACAAGAACAGCCTCATTCATGTGATAAGTACAAATTGCTCCCTTCTCTTTGACAAGATTCGCACGACAATACAATAGTCGTTTCAATTCTACTTGCACTTCTTTAAATTTTGCATTCGTGTAAGCTGCACGAAATTGCTTCTCAAACTCATATACCGTTCAGCAATCATACAATTTGTTTCGAGATTTAAAGTCTGCTTCCATCTCTTTCTCAACCTTACTTCTCAAGGCATTATCATACTGTTCAACAAATTGCTTTAAAGTTGCCTTTGAGTTCACATATCCATCAAAAAATGCGTTCATGCTCTCACTTCGTTGTGTAGTCGACATGCCAGCCCAAAAAACATCCTTCACATAGGCAGGAATCCACCTATGTGGCTCACTGTATAATAGCCCCAACCACTCATTATCATCTAGCTTGAACTTTGCAATCATCGCTTCCCATTCTTCATCAAATTCATCTTTTGTAAAACAATCATAAACTGCATTTTGCAAAGCAAACTTGATGGATTCATATTGGGCATATCCTCTTAATTTCTCAGGAATTTTCTTCATTATATGCCATAAGCACCAACGATGTCGAGCTTGTGGAAAGACAACTTCAGTGGCATTTTGCATAGCTCTGCACCGGTCTATTATTATAGCTTTTGGAGGAACGTTAGACATACAACTTAACCATTCTCTGAATAGCCACACAAATGTTTCAGTGTTCTCATTAGATAATAACCCACAACCAAGCAAAATTGACTGTCCCTGGCGATTAACTCCTACAAACGGAACAAATGGCATATCATATTTGTTTGTCAGATAAGTTGTGTCAAATGAAACCACATCCCGAAATGCTTTATAAGTTGCCCTACTCCTTGCATCCGCCCAAAACAAGTTTCGCATGCGACCATCTTCATTGAAGTCAATTGTAGAATAGAAGTTCGAATTTTGTTGTTGCATTTTATGAAAATAAAGTGCAACTGATTCAACATCTCCTACCCCAAGCCTCAATCTTCTCATACTCTGAATACGATTCCTTGCATCTCATTCGTTAAATGTTAATGCCTCATACCCCCCTGCTTCAACAACTATAGAATGAAAATTCCTAGCCACCCCTATCTCTGCTTCATCGTTTATTTCTAGTCTTCTCTTCACAAGGGTAAGAATTCTCTTATTCATTTCAAAATGTCGTGAGTCACTAGGAATCAAGTCATGCGTATGTTCAAGCATAACTGTGGTCAACTTAAATCTTTCATCCTTTTGTAGAGTTACTCTAACCTTTGCTTTACATTAATGAATAATGACAAAGATGGTTTGAGAGGATGTACTTCTGATCGTTTTGTTCTTTTGCGTGCCCCGAGTACATTCAATTCCAAAGTATTTTACTTCCCCATCATGTCCAATATTCTGTGTTCTATAAGCTACAGCAAATCCGAGGTGCTTCGCATATTTTGCATAAAACGAATATACTTCTTGCTTTGAGCTAAAACGCATGCCCTTCTTAGGTTCTTCAACTACATCAATATCATTTAATGACGGATTGTTCTCCGCTTCTTCAATTTCCTCACTCTCATTCAATGAAGGATTATTTGAATCAATGTCCATTAAAGCGTGTAGTTCGTGTAGCTTCAAACCAAATAGAAAATAAAGTGTAAGTGCATGTATGTGCATTTCAGTTTTTCTAAGGTTCTCCAACTTAACCAGTAACCACATAGTTTTTCATATTGGTGTAGCACGTCCGCGAGGGACCCCGCGCTACAGTTCGGACTCGATTTTGTGTCACGGTTCTTAATCTGAACCAAAGAGTCCAAATCCGGCAAATCGTTTTGAGAAACAGATTTTTGAAAAGAAGTGCCAAACATGGACTGCTTTGCCAGATACAAAGTCGCAACCTAAATATTTTTTATGGGGGAATTTAGGAAACCCTGACTCGGTGCCAAAGGCCACATGTCCGTCATCACCAAAGTTGCCTCGGCTGGGGAACTTGGGTACGATCGGGGAAGGTCAGCTATGAGCACCCCCTCTCGCCCGATCCGAAGATCGGCCTCTACTAACCATGATATCCGTTTTTGAAAACGTTATGTGTTCTTATTCCGGTTATTAGCCTAGAATTACTATGTTATGCGCGCAGCAAACAAGTATAGACCAAATCGCCTAAATTGGAACAAAACATTGTATGTTCGTTTTGAAGATGGTTTGCTACTCTCAAGTAGGCTAAAATGCAGGTTTTGCCACCCTCCAGTGGGCTTTAGAAAAGATGGTTTTGCCACTATCTAGTGGGCTTAAAACTCACAGTTTTAATGCATTATTCCAATTTAGGCAATTCAACCTCCATCCACAGGCATTCAAGCAGTTATATCACATAAGCAGCTAGCCTCATGGTAATCATGCTGTTATGGTAACACTCACACGCATGCGGTATGCTAAAGCATAAATGCTTACCAAGTACTCCGAGCCAAAACAAAAAGTTAATTAGAAATCCATGCATGATCCTAATTATAAAGAAGTGCCTAATGCAACACATGCAAAAGTGCAACTATAGCAGGCTCGGCTATTCTAGACATGGCATATGAAATGCTACAGCTAACAGATGCACGCATGCATAGCATAAGGTATGCTAATTTAAACATGCCCTAATCTACCTTCATAAGTAGGTAAATAAAAGGAAGAAAGAAGTGGGGGTTGGGAGACATGCACACACTCACCCACACTTATTACAAATTTACCCTCGCTCGGAGGGACCGAAAGAATAATACAGTTCGAATAATGAATTAACTATCCTAGCTAATTAATTATTACAAATCACCTAATTAATTAATAAATTAACTAAGCATAAGAAAAGTAATAAAAGGGGCCTCGGGAAGAGGGTTCGATGCGCGCGTGCTCGGGTCTTGCTCGGAAATGCACTGCCATGGATAGGCTGCCCCTGTTTTCCCTGCTATACTCCTCTGGAGACTGCCAAAGTCTCAGGATTGCTTCCCTGGACATTGGGAGACACCACCGGCTGAGTAGGATAGCCACCGGCAGTGGTATGTGATCGTCGGCTGTTGATGAAGCTATCGGTCCAAGAAGGATTACCGGTCGGCACTGAACACTGCCGGTCGGTAGAAAGTTCCTGCAGAATCTGCAATTGACAGCAGCAGAGGGCAAGGCATAGAATGGCAATGCAATTCAAGCAATGTATGCACCAATCCTATCCCTTATCATGTGTATGACTCAAAGGGACATGGTCCTTGGTTCTCGGACCATCAAGCGCGCATTTCAATGCGTGATGGCCCAAAGAATCAAGTGTGCATTTTTCATGTCAAATGAAATGCAATGCATACAATCAAACCAAGGGGCTTCTACCTCCATCATGACTTGGTCAAGAGGTAGAGCATGCATGCCCATGCAATGCAATCCTAATCATGTGAGCTAGCATGTAACATGGATAATGCAAGCAAGCATACAAGACATGCAAGGCATGAGATAATGCAACCAACAAGCATACAAGGCACAATGTGGGTGTTTAAGCATGTAAACAAACATGTGACTTCATTCAATCATGCAAGTTCAAAATTGCAAAAACTCACCAATATGCTACAACATACAAGGAGTGCATGCAACAAACAAAGAGATGGACTTAAACATGATTTAGGTAGTCCTAACTAGGCCTAAAACAGTGGCCAAAGTGCCCAAAATGAAGAACTAACACACGCGCACACATGCATGCAATGGGTGTCCAATACTTCAAGCATTTAAAAGCAATTCTCAAGCACACTTAAGAGGATGCAAACATGGACTAATGTCATGCATTAAGCTCTGAAAATCATGCAAGAACATGGTGCCAAACCAAGCAAACAAGATAGGCTAAACATTAGCATGCAAATGGCCCAAGTACTTGAAACAACATCAAACATCATCATCAAAACAACATCAAACATCACAACATCATCATCAAAACAATATCAAAATAACGATTAAACAATTTTTTAAATAATGATTAAACATCAAAATAATGATTAAAATAACATCAAACATCAAAATAACGATTAAACAATCATCATAACAATTTGTTTGATCAAACATCATCATAATTTATTAGCCCTAAACACACAAACCCAGATCTGAAAAAATGAAGATAGATATATATAAATATATATATATATAAAGAGAGAGATTCAATTCTCATCAATCTTCAGTATCAACCCTCACGACGACCACCACCACCACGGAACCCGCCGCCTCCGCCACCACCGCTTCCGCGGGACTGGGCCTCGTTGACGGTGATGTTGCGCCCGTCAAGATCTTGACCATTCGGAACAGATCTGATCTCTGCGACGTGTGGATCAAACAGACCTTCGATTCGATCAAGGCAAGCATACAAGCATGCTAAAGGGACTGAAATGATGCTACAAATGGTGCCAAACCATTGAAATAAAGCAAGTAACACATGCTATACCCTCACATACTTAGGGCCAACAAGCCAAAATGCAAAGGGGCTATACTAAACATGTCATGGCCGACCAAAACAACTAAGGACAGACCTCTAACATGGCAAAATAAGCACAAAAGCTTCACAAAGCTAGACCTAAAACATGCTTGAACAATGGTTTACAACCTAAGGCATGTTAAGGCCTAAACATGGCATTACAAGGTAGGTATGCTAAGCATGCATGGTGTACCAAAACCAACATACAACAATGCTATTTCATGGCAAAATAAACATAAATAATAGCCAAGACATGGTCAACATGAGGCTTAGTTAGGTGCTCATTAAAGAGGCAAAAATGGCCCTTTTCAAGGACAACAAGGAGAGAGGATAACCCTCTCCTTCTTGGGACCTCAAGGCACCATCCTCACCTCTGAAATCCCTCAAGATTTCAGTGGTGAGGAGGCCCAAACACCAAGGTCTCGAAGCTTACACAAAATAGCACAAAATGGAGCCTCTCAAGGCTTAGGAGTGGTCAAACACCTCCAAACCACAAAACACTCTAAACAAACTATTTAGAGGGCCTAAAAAAAGAACTTTTTTATATTATACACTAAGCTCAAAAACAGTTCTAAGATAGGCAAAAATGCAATGCAAAAATGGGGAATAAAGGGACAAACTTCTTACCCTTGAAGACTTTCTTCACAAATGAAGCTCCAGCAGCTTCTTGAGCTCCAAACTAGCTCCAAAACTCTGAAAACAATCCTTTAGAAACTCAATAGCCAAGGGAAGGTGTAATAGTAGGTGTTTGTGTGCAATACTATGAACAAATACACCTAGAACACTCAAGAGGGAGAGATATATAGAGATAAAATATATATAAGCTCTAACCCTAGAACCAGAGCTTCTAACAATGTTTTTCTCTCTAAAATGTCTAACCCTAAAGCCAAGAGAGGAGGGCTCCTCTTATAGAGCTTATTGTCTTGTAAAGCTTACTCAAGAAGCTAACAAGGAAGCCATCCCTCCATACATGTGTATAGAGGGGAACAAAATGCGAGCCAGATGTATTAAAATATCTGCAAAAGTAGATGAACAGTAGTCGGCTGCTCAAAATTACCATTTTGACAAAATGTATTGCCGACCGGCAACAAAGAATGCCGACCGGCAATATACATTGCCAATGGCAACAAAACATCAGCTGGTGGCCTCTGGTCATGGCCGGTGATGTGTAGGGATACCTCACAAGGTATTCTCTGCCCCTCCAAGGTAAAACACAAGTGTTTGGTGCAAAATCAGACACTAAACAGTCGAGTTCGGAGATCCTGAGGCAAGGCGCGTAGCCGAGACCTTCGGGAACTCCAAACGAACACAAACATTGGTAATCACCAAGTGTTCCAATGGTGACATCCAAGTCTTGAGGACGGTCAAAAATGGGGTGTCTACAGTTGCCCCTCTTTGACAGAACTCGAAAGTCATAACAATGACGGGAGTGAATGTCAAAGCCCAGAGATGACCCATTTTTGACAAGGCCGAAGACTTAGACAAACATGCAAGACAAACAAGGTATGCGCCCGAAGGCAGGGGAAAAATGCAAGACAATGCACGAAGCCGAGCATAACTTATTATCATGCAAAGAAAGCTGTAACGAAGCACACATGCAATAGTTTTAAGCTAGCGTACGCCAAACTACACTACAATGCAGAAAGGATGTAAGAAAATTATGCAATTCTTGATACTTCTCACTCGGAGGATACAATACCTGTGCGGCTCGTCTGGTTGCACCAGCCTCAAATGAACCGTACATACGATATCGTGCTTGCAAAGAAAACAACTTAACAGGTACGATATTGTTAGCAACATATACGACAGTGCAAAAATGGATGCAAAGTGATATGCAATATATACAAAATAATGTACAAACAATGCAAATGAAGATGCAATGTAATTGAAACAATGCAAACTATATGCAAAGTAATTGAATCATGACCCAATCATGAGCAGTTCGAAACCACGCCTATGTCAAATAGATTGATGGAGGTAACAAGTCCGTCTACCATAGAACGGTCAACTAAACAAGCTCAATCATGGAAAGGCGCAAGCCATAGGCGGGGGTGATGCAATGAATGCATGCAAATTACAATGCAATATTTACAAATATGCAATGGAATGGAAATGCAATACAATGGATATGGCC